ACGAAATCTATTTCAATATTATATTGAAGTAAAACAAGCATTTAAAGAAAAGCGAGCCATGTTTCTTATTACTAGTGATATGAAGAAGATGTAAGAACAAGAAAAGTAGATTGTTGTCCAGTGTTTTCTTGCAGGATTAGGTCCTGAATATGATGTGGCTCATACTCAGTTACTTGCCAGAGAGGCATTACCTTCGTTGAGTGATATATATGCTCGTCTCCTTCTGGTATGCAAGGACAATGATAAGGTGCAATGTATAGTACCAAATGAGACGGTAGCTTTAGTTGGCACAAATTCAAAATTAAATAACAATTACAATAATAAAGGAAGAGGAAGAGGAGGAGGTAGTCGAGATAAAATTTCTAGCGGTGGTTCTCGTGGTTGTTATTATTGTGGAGAGCAAGGACATATTAGAAGGAGCTGTTGGAAATTGAATGGTAAACCAGCAAAGAACACAAGTCAGACTCCCATGAGAAAGTTTGCAAATGTTGTCGGTCGGGATGGTCTTTTACCTACATCTTCTACTCAGCCTCAAATTACAGTTTCAATAGATAAATATACATGCCTTACACAATTTTACGCTTCTCAACAGCCTCTTACAACTTCCACTTCCACTTTAGCCAACACAGGTACTTCTATAGCGTGTCTCTCTACCGCATCCCATAATTGGGTCATTGATTCCGGTGCCACAAATCATATGACTGGGAATACAGGTATTCTTTCATCACTTCAATACTCTTCCAATTTACCATGCGTCACTTTAGCTAATGGGTCTACAACTTCTGTTATTGGATATGGGACTGCACATCCAACAAATTCTCTTCCAATGTCATCTGTTTTATGTTTACCTAAGTTTCCTTTCAATCTTTTATTTGTGAATCAAATTACTAAATCTCTTAATTGTAGTGTTCATTTCTTTCCTAACCATTGCGCTATCCAGGATCTTGGGACGAAGTAGATTATTGGTAGAGGGCGTGAGCTCAATGGCTTATATGTACTCGATTCTTTTCCTACACAGGTGCCAAGATCGACTGCATGCACTAGTACTTCTTCTCTTCTGCAGCTCCACTGTCGCTTCGATCATCCTTCTCTCCCTGTTTTGAAGCAATTGTGTCCTAGTCTTAGTCAAGTGTCTCAATTAGCAAAACACTATAGAGTATCATATTCTTCCATAATGAATACACGGGCTGTGTCCCCTTTTGATTTAATACATTCAGATATTTGGGGTCCTTGTTCTATTTTATCTAAGCGGCCGTTTAAGCCACATTATTTGTAGATTATAATAAGATGAATAGTATTTTTTTGAAAAATGAGTGGTTGAAAAGTTTTTTATTTACGTATAATATTATTTTATTGAAAATTGTGTGGTTAAAAGTATGAGAGAAAAAAAAATTTAATTTAATGTAATGAGAAATAATGGAGCTCAAACGGGGGCTAAGTCAGGTTTTCGCTATTTTGTTACTTTCGTGGATGATCATTCTCATGTTACTTGGTTATATCTTATGAAAAATCATTCTGAACTATTCTCAATTTTTTGTGCCTTTTATGATGAGATTAAAACTTAATTTGACAAATCTATACGTATCTTAAGGAGTGATAATGCCAAGGAGTATTTCTCATCGACATTTACTTCATTTCTTTCACATAATGGCATTATTCATCAATATTCATGTATTGTTACTCCACAACAAAATGGAGTGACAGAAAGAAAGAATCGTCATTTATTGGACGTCGCACGAGCTCCTCTTTTTCACATGAAAGTTTCAAAAGAATTTTGGGCAGATGCCGTCTCTACTGCATGTTACTTAATCAATCATCTGTCTTCATCTGTCTTGGATGATAAAATCCCTTATTCCATTCTATTTCCCTCTCAGACTCTCTTCTCTCTTGCTCCTAGAATATTTGGCTGCACTTGCCTTGTTCAAGATATGAGATCTCAAATTTTCAAACTTGATCCTAAATCCCTTAAGTGTATATTTATGGGTTATTCTCAATATCAAAAAGGTTATCAGTGCTTTTCTCCCTCCTTAGGATGATACTTAGTGTCTGCCGATGTCACTTTTTTCGAGTCTACATCGTTTTCTAGTACTACTGTGTCATCTAATCCATCTTCTATTGAGTCTGGGGATGACTTCCTTATTTACACTGTCACTACATCTATGTTACCAGTTTCTTCTCGTCCTTCTATTCGAAGTGCTTACACTCGTCATGTGCAACAATCTTCGGTGGCACCTGATGTTGGCCATGACTTGCCTCCTCTACCTGCTTCTTCGCCTCAAGATTTATCACCTCCTCCTGATCCTACTCTTAATTTTCCCATTACTCTCCGAAAAGGTAAACGATCATGTACCTATCCTGTTTCTTCTTTTGTTTCTTATCATGCATTATCACCATCTTCCAAGTCTTTCATTGCTTCTTTAGAGCATGTATCCGTACCAAAATCTATCTCTGAAACTCTATCCCATAGTGGTTGGCAAGCAGCCATGCAAGACGAAATGTTGGCACTAGAACATAATCACATATGGGAATTAGTTCCTTTACCTCTCCATAAAAGGCAATTGGTTGCAAATGGGTGTTTACAATCAAGATGAATCTTGATGGATCTGTTACTCGATTGAAGGCTGTTTCTTCTTTTGTTTCTTATCATGCATTATCACCATCTTCCAAGTCTTTCATTGCTTCTTTAGAGCATGTATCCGTACCAAAATCTATCTCTGAAACTCTATCCCATAGTGGTTGGCAAGCAGCCATGCAAGACGAAATGTTGGCACTAGAACATAATCACATATGGGAATTAGTTCCTTTACCTCTCCATAAAAGGCAATTGGTTGCAAATGGGTGTTTACAATCAAGATGAATCTTGATGGATCTGTTACTCGATTGAAGGCTTGTTTAGTTGCTAAGGGGTATGCTCAAACTTATGGTGTGGATTAGTCTGAGACTTTCTCTCTTGTTGCTAAGCTAGCTTCTATTCGATTATGTTGAGAGGTTACAATTTTATTGTAATATAGTTATCATAGTCTTAGTTGTATCTTCATTTGAATTTGAATAAATCTGGTAAGATAAGGTAAGCTAGTTGGTTGGTTAGTTAGGAGTTGTTCCTTTAATTTCTCTACAATTTATATTCAAATAAGGTCCTATTTTTTATGGGATCTGACATTGTATTCACCTCTATTTAATAGAGATATTCTTGTATAAACAATACAATTTTAAGTCATTAAAATTAATATTGCATCAGAGCAGACTCTGTTACTTTTCAAATTTTAAAACAAAAAATGGCAAACACCGCCACGACCAGTGCAACTCGGGAAGGTGAGTCTGATGTATCTACCGAGTCTTCACAGTGAATAACCTCTAGAGAAGGACCAGTGGCTAGCTACGGTGAGTCCCACACTCTGCAGATCACACAACACAAGCTCAATGGATCCAATTACCTGGATTGGTCTCAATCGGTGCTATTGGTTATTCGAGGTAAAGGAAAAGTTGGTTATCTTACTGGAGAGACAAAGAAACCAGAAGCACAAGATACTGGATATCGGATCTGGGAGTCAGAAAATTCCATGGTCACTGCGTGGTTGGTAAATTCTATGGAACCCAAGATTGGTAGAAATTATTTATCCTATAAAACTGCCAAAGAGGTATGGGATCTCGCCCAATCTATGTATTCTGATTTTGGTAACTCATCCCAAATGTTTGAATTAAAATCGATATTAAGAGATATGAGGCAAGGCGAAACTACTATAATCGATTACTAAAATATTTTGGTGGGTCTTTGGCAAGAATTTGATTTATTTAATGATGTACGCTGGTCATGCCCAGGAGATGCTCTGAAGAATACTCAGAAACTAGAAAAGGAGAGATTGTTCGATTTTCTTCATGGACTGAACAAGGAAGGATTCTTGGTATAAAGCCACTGCTGTCAATACAAGATGCCTTTGCAAAGGTTCGACATGAAGAGAGTAGAAGGAGAGTCATGCTTTCAAGATATGAGATCTCAAATTTTCAAACTTGATCCTAAATCCCTTAAGTGTATATTTATGGGTTATTCTCAATATCAAAAAGGTTATCAGTGCTTTTCTCCCTCCTTAGGATGATACTTAGTGTCTGCCGATGTCACTTTTTTCGAGTCTACATCGTTTTCTAGTACTACTGTGTCATCTAATCCATCTTCTATTGAGTCTGGGGATGACTTCCTTATTTACACTGTCACTACATCTATGTTACCAGTTTCTTCTCGTCCTTCTATTCGAAGTGCTTACACTCGTCATGTGCAACAATCTTCGGTGGCACCTGATGTTGGCCATGACTTGCCTCCTCTACCTGCTTCTTCGCCTCAAGATTTATCACCTCCTCCTGATCCTACTCTTAATTTTCCCATTACTCTCCGAAAAGGTAAACGATCATGTACCTATCCTGTTTCTTCTTTTGTTTCTTATCATGCATTATCACCATCTTCCAAGTCTTTCATTGCTTCTTTAGAGCATGTATCCGTACCAAAATCTATCTCTGAAACTCTATCCCATAGTGGTTGGCAAGCAGCCATGCAAGACGAAATGTTGGCACTAGAACATAATCACATATGGGAATTAGTTCCTTTACCTCTCCATAAAAGGCAATTGGTTGCAAATGGGTGTTTACAATCAAGATGAATCTTGATGGATCTGTTACTCGATTGAAGGTGTTTACAGTCAAGATGAATCTTGATGGATCTGTTACTCGATTGAAGGCTTGTTTAGTTGCTAAGGGGTATGCTCAAACTTATGGTGTGGATTAGTCTGAGACTTTCTCTCTTGTTGCTAAGCTAGCTTCTATTCGATTATGTTGAGAGGTTACAATTTTATTGTAATATAGTTATCATAGTCTTAGTTGTATCTTCATTTGAATTTGAATAAATCTGGTAAGATAAGGTAAGCTAGTTGGTTGGTTAGTTAGGAGTTGTTCCTTTAATTTCTCTACAATTTATATTCAAATAAGGTCCTATTTTTTATGGGATCTGACATTGTATTCACCTCTATTTAATAGAGATATTCTTGTATAAACAATACAATTTTAAGTCATTAAAATTAATATTGCATCAGAGCAGACTCTGTTACTTTCCAAATTTTAAAACAAAAAATGGCAAACACCGCCACGACCAGTGCAACTCGGGAAGGTGAGTCTGATGTATCTACCGAGTCTTCACAGTGAATACCTCTAGAGAAGGACCAGTGGCTAGCTACGGTGAGTCCCACACTCTGCAGATCACACAACACAAGCTCAATGGATCCAATTACCTGGATTGGTCTCAATCGGTGCTATTGGTTATTCGAGGTAAAGGAAAAGTTGGTTATCTTACTGGAGAGACAAAGAAACCAGAAGCACAAGATACTGGATATCGGATCTGGGAGTCAGAAAATTCCATGGTCACTGCGTGGTTGGTAAATTCTATGGAACCCAAGATTGGTAGAAATTATTTATCCTATAAAACTGCCAAAGAGGTATGGGATCTCGCCCAATCTATGTATTCTGATTTTGGTAACTCATCCCAAATGTTTAAAATCGATATTAAGAGATATGAGGCAAGGCGAAACTACTATAATCGATTACTAAAATATTTTGGTGGGTCTTTGGCAAGAATTTGATTTATTTAATGATGTACGCTGGTCATGCCCAGGAGATGCTCTGAAGAATACTCAGAAACTAGAAAAGGAGAGATTGTTCGATTTTCTTCATGGACTGAACAAGGAAGGATTCTTGGTATAAAGCCACTGCTGTCAATACAAGATGCCTTTGCAAAGGTTCGACATGAAGAGAGTAGAAGGAGAGTCATGATGAAATCTAGTTATGTGGAAAACTCTCTGCAGAACTCAGCACTTGCAGCAAAGCGACCCGTCTATAACCAACAACAAAATCAGGAGCAGCGTAGAGAAAAAAAGGATTGGCGTGACTACTGTAAGAGATTCTATCATACTAAAGAAAATTGTTGGAAGATAAATGGAAAACCTACAAACTGGCAACCAAGGCATGAACGTGATGGCAATGGCAGAGAATTTCAACTTGCAGGAGATGGTAGAGGATTCCAAGTCAGGTAATCAGCAAGGGAGATCCTGTTTTAGTCCCAAACAGATTTCAGAATTGCAGACTTTGCTTCAAAATCTGCAAAGTACTTCACACCAACCACATCAGGCTCTTCATCAGGATGCTTCACAGCCAAGTATTAATGCCAATTGCAATATAGCCCAGAAAGATAGCTTCTCCACTGCTCTAATTACGAAGACATCAGTGAATGATCTATGGATAATTGATTCAGGGGCTTCAGACCATATGACAGGGAATTATGAGTTATTTTCTGACTATATTTCGTGTTCTGGTTCATTGAAAATCAGGATTGCTGATAGTTCTTTATCCTCAATTATAGGGATAGGGACTATTGTGGTCTCACCACTTATAACTCTCAAATCAGTTTTACATGTTCCCAATCTTTCATGTCATCTTATTTCAATAATCAAACTAACTAAAGACTTGAGTTGTGAAGTTAACTTTTCTCCATATATGTGTAAATTTCAGGATTTGTATTCAGGGAAGATGATTGGCATTGCTAAGTGAAGTAATGATTTGTACTATCTTGAAGATTCCAAGGAAGGCAAGACTGCTCAGTTTCAAGCTTATGGAAGTAAAAGTGTTTCTAGCTCAAGTTCCGTTCCTACATATGTTTTGAATAAAGTGATGTTATGGCATAAAAGACTAGGGCATCCTAACTTTAGTTATTTGAAGAAGTTGTTTCCAACGTTATTCAATAATAAAGATGCAAGTTTGTTCAAATGTGATATTTTCCAGTTAGCTAAACACACTCGAAACACTTATCCCACACGACCATATAGATCACCTAAGCCTTTTTCCATGTTCCACAGTGATATTTGGGGACCACTTAAGATTAAAAATATAACAGGGTTTAGGTGGTTTATTACTTTTATAGATGATCACACTAGAGTTTGCTGGGTGTTTTTGTTGAAAGAAAAATCAGAGGCAGGAAGTGTGTTACAAAACTTTCACAAATTCAGATATTTCATACAGATAATGGGAAAGAGTACTTTAATCAAAATTTGGGGAATTATCTCAGTGATCATGGAATCGTACACCAGTGTACATGTGTAGGAACACCACAACAAAGTGGGATTGCTGAAAGGAAAAATAGGCATTTGTTAGAAGTTGCAAGAGCTTTACTCTTTACTAATAATGTGCCTAAGATGTTTTGGGGAGAAGTTGTTTTGACAGCATCCTATGTTATCAATAGATTGCCTTCTAGTGTTCTCGATTTTAAAATTCCAATTCAAAAACTTTTACAATCCTATCCTCACAATAGGTTATTTCATAATTTACCTATCAAAGTCTTTGGGTGTACGGTTTTTTTTGACAGAAACCAAATTAGATCCTAGATCAATAAAATGTATATTTTTGGGTTATTCACCATCTCAAAAGGGCTATAAATGTTTTTTTCCTAAGACTAAAATGTTTTTTGTTACTATGGATGTGACATTTTTTTAGGATACGACCTATTTTCATCATCCACTTCAGGGGGAGAACATAAGGGAAGTGAATTTTTTTCCTAATGATGATTTACTTTCTAGTAGTTCAAGTTCTAGTTCTGGCCCTGAATCTACACTAGTAATTCGACAATCAATTCCAGATTATATTGTTGAACTAGAAGTTTCTCCACTTGTTGAACCAAGTTCATCACAACAGTCATATTTTTTAGATGAAGGCAACCAAGCAGAACATCATCAGCAGAAAAAATCTAAAGTAATTGTATACACCAGAAAGCCAAAGCAAGATCAAAATGTACAAGCCATTGCTACCCCAAACCACAGTCAACAATCAGACCCGGATATAGATCAACACCAACTTCCTATTTCTAGTGCTCCAGATCAGCATCAAGATAAAGAGGACCTGCCAATTGCCTTGAGAAAGGGTACAAGATCTTGTACCTAGCACCCTATTCACAATTATATGACATTTAGAAATCTATTATGCTCTTACAGAAACTTTAGCTGGAAGGTGTCGAGAGAAACTATTCCAACAAAATTGATGAAGCTCTTAAAGAAACGGTTTGGAAAAATGCAGTGTTAGAGGAAATGAATGCTTTGACGAAAAATCAGACATGGGATATTATGAAACTTCCATCAGGAAAATGTACGGTTGGCTATAAATGGGTGTTTACCATCAAATATAAAGCAGATGGGAATATTGAGAGATATAAGGCTCGTTTAGTTGCCAAAGGGTTCACTCTGACCTTCGGCATTGACTATAATGAGACGTTCGCACTGGTGGCCAAGTTAAATACAATCAGGGTCTTAATCTCGGTGGCTGCTAATCTTGATTGGCCACTTTATTTGATGGATGTGAAGAATGCATTCTTAAATGGAGAATTGGAAGAAGAAGTTTACATGGAGCCACCACCAAGCTTTGAGAAAGAATTTGCGACTAATAATGTATGTCGGTTGAAGAAATCACTCTATTGCTTAAAACAATCACCAAGAGCATGGTTTGATCACTTCACTAAATCAGTAAAAAGGTTTGGATATTGTCAAGGGCAGACTAATCATAAATTGTTTATCAAGCATACAGGTGGTAAGATTTCTATTTTGATAGTATATGTCGATGATATTATTCTCACAGGTGATAATTTGGAAGACCTTGCAAGTTTTTAGGAGTTTTTAGCTAAAGAATTTGAGGTTAAAGACCTAGGACAACTTGGGGTAATTTTTGGGAATGGAAATAGCAAGAAGTAGGGGAGGAATCTTAATCTTCATATCTCAAAGAAAGTATACGATGGATTTATTGAAAGATACTAGTATGCTTGGTTGTAAACCTTGTGAAACTCCAATAGAGCCCAATGAAAAATTGGGTAAAGAGGCTAGAGACCCGATAGAAAAGAGAAGATACCAGAGACTAGTTGGAAGATTGATTTATTTGTCACATACTCGACCTGATATTGCTTCTGCAGTAAGCATGGTCAGCCAATATATGCACAATCCATTTCAAGGACATTTGGATGCGGTTTATAGGATTTTAAAATATTTAAAATCCTCTCCTAGGAAAGGTTCGTTCTTTGGGAAGAATGTAGAAAGAAGTGTGGAAGTTTATACAGATGTGGACTGGGCAGGCTCAATTGATGATAGAAAATCCACTTCTGTTTATGGTACATTTGTTTGGGGAAATTTAGTTATATGGAAGAGTAAAAAACAAAGTATAGTAGCCAGAAGTAGTGCAGAGGTAGAAATTCGAGCATTGGCCCATGGAACGTGTGAAATAATTCAGATAAGGAGACTACTAGAAGAACTGAAGTTGCCATGTATAAAGCCCATGAAGATTTTTTATGATAATAAGGCTGTGATTAGTATTGCCCGTAATTCGGTCCATCATGATCGCACCAAGTTCGTGGAGATTGACAAGCATTTTATAAAAGAGAGGATTGATAATGGTGAAGTATGTGTTTTGTTCGTGCCATCCAAGGAGCAGGTAGCAAATATTTTTACAAAGGGTGGAGCAAGACAAAGCTTTGAAAAATGTGCAGACAAGTTGGGGATGATTGATATCTTCACACCAGCTTGAGGAGAAGTGTTGAGAGGTTACGATTTTATTGTAATATAGTTATCATAGTCTTAGTTTTATCTTCATTTGAATTTGAATAAATTTGGAAAGATAAGGTAAGCCAATTGGTTAGTTAGTTAGGAGTCGTTCCTTTAATTTCTCTACAATTTATATTCAAATCAGATAAGTCCTATTTTTTATGGGATCTGGCATTGTAATCACCTCTATTTAATAGAGGTATTCTTGTATAAACAATACAATTTTAAGAGTTCATTAAAATTAATAGGTTATTCATTTCTCTAGCTGCTACCTATCATTGGCCGCTTCACCAGTTGGATGTTAAAAATGCATTTCTCCATGGAGATTTGTACGAAGAAGTTTACGTGGAGCAACCACCAAGATTTGTTGCTCAGGGGGAGTCAGGGAAGGTATGCAAACTACAAAAGTCATTATATGGTTTGAAATAATCACCTTGTGCTTGGTTTAGAAAATTTAGTGAGGTTGTGATTATGGCTTGAAAAGAAGTGCATATGATCACTCAGTATTCTTTAAACAGTCTACAGCTGGGTGTATTTTGTTAGTTGTATATGTTGATGATATTGTGATTACTGGGAGTGATAGCAGTGGCATAAGTATGCTAAAGGCTTTCCTAGGCACAAGATTTCAAACAAAGGAACTAGGTTCTTTGAAATATTTCTTAAGGATAGAGATATCTCAAAGTGGCAAAGGAATCTTCCTTTCCCAAAGGAAATATGTTCTGGACTTATTAGATGAGACAGGCTTAGCTGAAGCAAAACCTGATGATGTCCCTATGATACCAAATGTGAAACTCGGAGCAGAAGGTGGAAATGTGTTTGTTGATGCAGACAAGTACACAAGTGTAGTAGGAAAGTTGAACTATCTTACAATTACTAGGCCAGATATTTCGTTTCTCGTAAGTGTTGTTAGTCAATTTATGTCATCTCCTAGAACTTCACATTGGGATGTCGTAACTCATATATTAATGTATCTTAAAGGAGCTCCAGAACGTGGAATTCTTTATAGAGACCGTGGTCATTGTAGGGTTGAGGGTTTCTCGGATGCTGACTGGGCAAGTTCACTCGTGGATAGGCGCTCTACTACAAGGTATTATGTTTTCGTTTGAGATAATCTAGTTTCTTGAAAAAGTAAGAAACAAAGTGTTGTAGCTCGATCAAGTGCAGAATCTGAATATCAGGCTATGCCACAGATGACTTGTGAACTTATATGGCTACATCACTTACTTGGAGAAGTTGGCATTGATACGTCTCACTCTATGAACTTGTAGTGTGATAATCAAGCAGCTATTCACATTGCTACTAATCTAGTATTCCATGAGAGAACAAAGCACGTAGAGGCAGACTATCATTTTGTTCGTGAAAAGCTACAACAAGGATTGATTTCGACTAAGCATGTCAAGACGGGAGAACAAATAGCTGGTGCGTTCACAAAGGCTTTAGCCGGAACTCAAGTAAACTATATTTGTAACAAGATGGGTATAATTGATATCTATGCTCTAGCTTGAGGTGGAGTGTTATGGAATTATGCATCAATTTAGGTCTATATTTATTCTTTACATATACAACACATGTATATATGGTAGGTGCATAAATTTAGGACTTTTCTTATTTTAATAGGATTGTTTCCTTATGAGAAACATTTACTCTATTTATATATATGTAATACACGTTCATGAATTAATATATGGAATAAGTTATTTCTCTAAAATCAACAAAAATAAATCCTAAGTTTTAATATGGTGTTAGAGCCTATTAAACTTCACGAACAATTTGATTCGAACAAGACTCAAACGAGCACACAATTTCCAGATTGACATTCTCAAACAAGTCACCATTGTGTTTGAGCATGTCAAAGCAAAAATCCATATGAAACAAAAATGCCAAAAATAAACATATAAAGGTTTATGCTGCTCCTTTTAACAAGGTAAGACTTTTCAAAATAGAATCCTAAGTCTTAAAAACCTCAACCAATATATTTACTTAAAAAAGGCATAAGAATATTACCATACATAACATTACAAATTCCTTTATTAGTTGCGAAAATTACCATTGGCGATAAGGAACTCTCTAAAGCACGATTAGTATCAAAAGCACTCTATATTCAGCATAGGTACCTAAAACCCTTTTTGAGTGCTGAGGAAATATCTATCAAAAGAATCCAAAATAAGATCTAAAAAAGTATGTTTAAGAGAGGAAAACC